TTCCTCTTCCTCCTCGTCTTCTTCTTCTATTTCCGCTTTATCCTTCCAAGTTACCTAAGCTTCAGCCATCGACGCAAACATTTTTTTGGTCATCAATCCAGGCTTACCCCCGAAAATCTACAGCCTGTTCCTAGCTTCGCCCCACATCTACTTCCTTACCTCTTTTAATCTGCCCTTTGTAAGGCGCATATTCCCTCTTTGCCTGTGTCCATTTCCCTCTGCTTGTTCGATCTTCGAACTCCCTCTACAACGAAGGCGAAATCCCAAAGCCATAGCCATCGCTCCCACCGCCGCACCAACTAGGTACCCAATTCCAATATCAAATAATACTGCTACTACCAGCAACAGGTCCACCATGCTATTCAACGTTGGTAACCCCCACGCCCCCCTTATCTCCCCCTCCTCTCTCTCAACAGGCAGTCATTTAAATAAATCAAAAAATTACAAGAAGGACATAGATATGGACATCACTAACCTCTTATGCCCTCCCGCTTTGGCCAGGGCGCGCTCAACAGGTCACTCTCAAGAAAGACGCTCCTCCGGAAGAGCTCGAAAAGTACGATACCACCCTTTCCCCTATATCTCTTAGGCGTGTCCTGTCTATAAAATACAACATTACCAGCCACGATTCCCCCCCCCCCCCCCCACCGACCAAAACCAAATAAAAGGGAAGAGAAAAGGCTTACACCTCGAAAAATCCAGGGCCAAGGCAGAAGCGAGAAAATCCGGCGGGACCATCAAGCACGAGTACACCTTGATCAAGGGATTCACGTACGTCTTTCTCTGTCTCTTTCTCATGCCCTTTTATCCCTTTCCCCTTTCCCCTTTCCCCTTTCCCCTTTCCTTCCCCCTTAGCATTCCGTCATGTGTACCCTTTTTACTTGGAAAAAAAATGAAGAGCCTTCAACCACCTGATTACTAGCCAAAAATTAAATAAACAAATAAAACTTACAATGAACCCTTTTTCTACTTTTTATATATATGTTTTTAGCGTTGAGTACCCAGATGACCATATCAAGGTCCTCGAGACCACCGAGCACCTCCATGTCGAGCAAGATGGCCAGGTCCGCACGCAATAGATGAGATACTACACACATTACCCACGCGCGCGCATATCCCTTGTTTGGTTTGAACAGACTTAAATGGCAAAGGCGACCTCGACGAAGGGAACCATGGACAAAGAAAAAGAGAGGAAAGGAAAAGAAAGAATAACCAGAAAAAAGAACAGGAAAAGAGCAGGAAAAACGGAAAAAAAAAAAAAGGAAAACCGATGATTTCTCACGTTCGTTTTACCTGCCTAACCCAGGTGCCTAGTACTAGATAGCTCCTCCCCCTTTCTGGAGAATGAAGAAACAATTTTGAGCTGGCGGCATTCCAAAGCGGGAAGGAAATCGAAAAAAAAAAAAAAAAAATTAAAAAAAACAATAAAAAAATAAAATAAAAACATGAGGGGAAGAGGAGGAAAAGAAAGAAGGGGTAAGGAGGATAAATGATGAGCTATATGCGGGATCTTTTATTGAATTATGATGGATACGGGATATTTCTTTTGAATATATGAATGCCATGAAAAATGCGATTCTTATCTTGTTTTGGTTCCTTGTTTTAAATAAAATTACTTTAATTCATTTTTACAGTTACTGTTTTAATGCTACGGACGAATAAGCGCAAATGGAATAGATACTATATTAGAATGGAAGGGAGAAACAAGGAGGAGTGTGTGTGTGTGTGCTATGTAAAAGAAGGGGATCCTTCGGGTCTTTTTTTTTTTTCTTGTCTTTTTCAAAAGTATCTGAAGTGTCTTTGAATTCGATTCTTTCCTTCTTTATTTCCTCTTCACACGTCTTGGGTTTATTTAAACCCCTTTATAGAATAGAATTATTAGTGCTTATTATTTTTGTAGAATTTCTACAATGGTTCTATGTGGTAGCATCCAGATGAAGTTTGCGAGATAAACTATCAGAAGCATTGCTTAGGTATTTATCTGGCTTCTGCACTTATCTTCCTCTCTTGCTACTCACTGTATTAGTGGTTATCTCTTCTCCTTCTTCTTTGTCTTCTTCTTTGTTCTCGAAAATTAGCTATACTGTCATTGTATGTATTGTACTATGTACAGAACAAACGGTCTTCGGCCTATCTAGCTTGTAGGTTTATCACTTCCCTGGCATCATCAATCATGGTACTAATCATGGTAATCAACTGTTACTCAGCCCTTCTCTGCTTAATTATTTTCTGATCAAAAGAAAGAACAATAGCTCAAAAGCATAGATAGAAAAATTATAATCAATGATGTCATTGTCATTTCTGTGTACTGCAGTTGTGTAACCATATATAACTCTGACGCTTCTAGCCGCGCAGTACTCTTAAGTATTGCCATACATAGTGGTACTATCAACCTCCCTATACGCTTATCGCCCCCTTTCAACTCCTTCCGGGTAAGTCTGCAGTAATGGCTCAGTGACAATATTAATATGTTACACCAAGTTCTTTATCATATCCTTTCTTCTCCACTTCTCTACTACGTTTTATAAATGACATCCATTCGTTCTGGTGCGGTTACCTACTATACTACTACTCGGGGTCGCAGCAGCCAACGTAGTCAAACGGATTCGTAAAATCAGCAAAAGATAAATTGAATCTAGGACCCCTTCATGGGGGATACATGTAATTTTACTATTTTATAAGTAGAGTAGTAAATCGAACGAATAATTTTCCTTTAAAATAAATAAAATAAAATAAAAATAAACAAAAATCCTTTCCACGCTGCATGCTTGTAGCGCTATGGTTTTCTTCAATGGGCTAGCAAGTTGCTGTACACAAATGATAGTGACCAGTTTGCGGGGTTTGAGACCATTTGTCAGTTAATGCGCTTTGCTCAATATATGCAAGCCAAAGAGTTGAGAGCATACCTGGTGTGGGGGAAGGGGTTAAGTGGCCCCCTGACCCAATTAACTCTTGTATTTTGGACTAATGTTGTGCATGCGCATAACATTGCATGGAGTTAACTAGTAATTATAGTATAAATAAACAGCACTTGATGGTTTTATTCAGGAGATGGACCTTTGGCTGAAATGATTAACTGGAATGATTTTAATTGGTTGTTTGGTTTGGATGTGTTGTTTTAAAGGCAATGACAAGAAACCACACTTGAAGTCATGTTGAATAGATTGATACACATACTACCCATACGCACACCCACTGTGTCTCTCTCTTGCAAGGCATGTGATGGCGTAAGATCATCGGATAGCCGCGGATGATGATTTCAATGAAGCGGGGAATCCCCCTGGCCATTTGAGTTGAATATGTATGGACCGGTATGGCCAGCGCATATTGAATGGAAAAGTAAAAATAAATAAAAAATAAATAAAAAAAATAAAAATAAAAATAAAAAATAAAAATAAAATAAAATAAAATAAAATAAAATAATAAGAAAGGGTCCATACGGGTACGTGCGTTTACTGGTTTTCAAAAAGCTGGAAGCATAAGCACAATTCAAGTACTGATTTTCGAAAATGGCACATGAAGCGCCGAATCTGATATCATGTGTACATGGTACATGGTCCCACTTTTGACGTATGTAAAATCATACTCCTTGCCATGCTCTCCCAATTTATCGGCATAGCACCAAACGACATCCACCGAACCTTCGTCGTAGCCAGAATGGTCCCAGCAGCCCTTTATGACGTGCGGCCGGCAATTGCTGGCAGGAATATCCGGGTGCGGCGTCTCCATGCAGCATATTTGATGTTTTTCCGTGTCGTTGGGGCTGGGCGTCGAGATTTTTCCAGGTGACGTACATTCCTCAGTCGACATGCACGTTCCCGCCTGATAGTATACTTTATACTTTGCAGGGGCTCTGTGCGGCAGCAAGGGCTAGCAGGCACGGCGGGGGGGAAGCGCTTTTGTTAATTAGATTTAATTTAGAAAGATAAGCCAGGTGGGATATTGATTTTGGCAATGCACTAAAACCACTTTTTTGGCAACGGGCGGCGAACGACGTGCCCTTTTTTTTTAAAAAAAAAAAAAGCCGAATTGCGTTTTACAACATTATCCCCTGCCTTGAGCAACGAAACAAAGTTTTACACTGGAGATATCCCCAGCCGCATACCTCCAATTCGTTTTCACCTCCCTGCTTTGCAGAGGAAACGACCAGGACATCAAAATCGTATCCATCAGTGGAAATGGTTGGTAAAAATGCGCTCAACTTGCCAAGCTGCACGTTCATGTAGTTGTTAGACCTTCCTGTCTATCCCGCGGATGCAGAAGGGCAGTTCTAGCCAAGTTTCTACCTGCCACAAAATGCGGCAGCAACATGTCCTCATTGATAGGGATAGGGGAGCTCAGAAAGGGAGGGAAATGTGCAGCGATTCAACAATGTAGGTCCGTTTCAAACTTCCTTGAGGATCTGCTTTAGCTGTGGGCTCGAACCGCGCAGGCTTAGCTCCAGCGAAACGGAACAGAACGTCATGCTCTCAGGCTCCTCCGATCCGAAAGGACAGGTTGAAAGAGAGAGCGAAACCATTTCGTTTCGGAGCCGTCTATTCGTTCAAGCCTCAGGAAAAATAGGCCTTTTTGGGGGAGCTAGGGTCAATCACAGAATGCTGGATCGAGTAATAGGCCCTGCATAACAACAGAACTTTATATTTTCACCTATGCAGTGGATTCTTGAAAGTAGCTAATTATGTCAATCTTTCAATGCGCAGAAATATGTGCATTATATCTGGCGATTGCATTGTAGGCGTAAATGGCCCTTTTCAGATAGATGGGCGTGTTGCAGTCCAGGACCCCACTTAGGGCTAAATTCCGTATTTAGTTTAGCTATGAAAGTTGAATGTGAAAAAAATGGCGGAAACACAAACAAGAAAAGCGCAGGAGCAAGATGAATCCCATCTAAATGGGCGACATGGTAGTAAAGGTTCTGGGCCAAAGCGAGAGAGCAAAACACGAGGGAGAAAAATCGAGAAAGAAAAATCGAGGAAAAAAAAAACCCAAAAAAATTTCGATGCCTCAGCCGTGACTCGAACACGGGCCTCTTGCTATCTGTCGCAGTAATGGAGCTTATTGCGATCATGGAAGGCAAGAATCCTAACCCCTGGACCACTAAGGCTTAATTCGTTGGAAAGCTACAGTATATCTCTGGTATTTCAAACTCAATGGCGGACTATTTCGAAATTACCATTCCAACGAAACAAACGATCCGCATCATTGTTCTACGAAAGGAAAGGTTCCTAATAATAATCTGCTACAGTTAGTGTAAGAGGACAATTTTGTTAGGTAAATTGCTCTTGTTGATCAAAAAGCTGCGTAATCGGGTTTGCTGCATGCCGTAACTAATAGATACTATACGGATATGCAGAATATAAATAATGTACTCAGTATATATATTTTGGGATACAGATTCCTTGTTATTCGAGTCAACCCCCCAACGAAGCGTCTGAGATATGTATAAAGTGAATTTGGCATGGATACGTCGAGTGAATATAGTAGAAGTCTGAGATGTTTATTAAAGCGGAACAAGTCGTTGTCGTGCTATCGTATTGAACCACGAATTTTCGCATGCACTTTGCCAGTTCTTCAGCAGAGAAGCATATCCAGGGGGATTAATGCCGCAGCCAGCGGAAATTGCACACTTATAAGTAATTTGCAATTTCCTCTACAGACGCATATATTGTACAGTACATGGGCAATGCCCCATATAGGTCCTAACTATCGTCATTTAGGAACTTGTTCCTATAACCAAACCTTGCTGACCGCGACTTCGCCTCCAGCGATTGCTCATTTCGATCACTCTGGTCTCAAATGCCCACCACCACCGCTCAAATACTATCTGCCCAACTTCCCACATATCAAGCTGAAAGGGGTCTCCACCACTCACTCGCACCCCTTCGGAAGGGTCTTCAATATCATATACTAGATTCATCAAGGCCATGGGGTGAGAGGCAGAAGCTGGCCGGAGCTCTGCTGGCATGCTAAAGACCTGGATAAGTTTATCACGAGTGACGGGCCATGGGAGAAGGTCGAGAATTGGGTGGTGTGGGATGAGGCGCTGCGTTGGGGTTGGTTGGAGGTGAGCGGGTAAATTATCCCAGGAGGCGGCTGTTGCAGAAGAAGAAGACGAGGAGCTGAAACTTGGAGATTTGAGTCCCGTTGGGCCCGTATAGAACGGACTGACGGCGTCCATGGACCAGATGAGTGCCGTGAGCTGCAGCCGGTCGGCAATAGTGAGGATGGCGCGGAGGAGGGATAAGGTTGGTATTTCGATGGTGTGGTCGTCTGGAAAGGTGAATGTTGTGGTCTGATGGGATTGGAGCGTTGCAGAGAGATCGTTTGGCGCAAGGTCTTGTTCACTAATGGGGTTTTGGAGGAACTGATAAGAGAAGGCCTCTAGCTCAGGGGAGGATGGGGCGAGTGAGAAGAGAGCTTCGAAGCTTGAAGGAGATGGCATCGTGGCGATCGATGAGGGAGAGGAAGATGACGAGTCGTTCATCACTAGTTCTGGAACAAAATTTGGAATTTCGGATTCGCTGAAAAAGTTTGAACAAGCACTGGAAGAATCGACGCCGTTTAAGGTGTCCAGGAGTGCTTCCTGAACTCGATGTATGGTTCCCGGTGACGCGGGGGGTACATTTGGCGCAAAGTTCTCCGTTTCTTCTGATGGCGGCACGTTGTCGAACCCTGACTGGTTTTCAGCGCTGTATTCAGTTGAAAGAAGATCGATGGTAGTTGATCCTTGTTCTTCCTGGTCATCTTTCTGTACTTTAGCTTCCAATGCGGCTAGATGTTCACGTTTCCGTTTCCCTGGACACTGAAGTTAGATATTGGCTTCAATGGTATAGCGGCTCATATATTAAGCATTTTGCTCACTATAACGACGTTGCGCAAGCACGTTTAAAATCCTTTTGCGCTCTTCAGCATCGTCGGATATATCCGGAACCGCAGGATCATTGGTCTTGCGGCGCTGCCTCTTGGGTGCCATTGCCAATAGGGCTTCTGCGAAATCTTCCTCCCTTTCAGTGAAGCTACGCTGTTAAAAGCCGAGACGCAACAGAGTGCTACTAGGTACTAGATATATAACGCAACTTAGAAGGCAACAGAGTTACGCATGTCAGTTTTTAAAACATCTCCTCTTCGTACTCATGAGCATTTATGAATCTAAATTTCAAGGTTGATGCTACCGTCTCCTTATAAGTACTATGAGCCGGCAAATACGAGGTCCAACCCCGCCAATACTCCGTAATCCAGCATAACGTTATGTTTCTTGGCAAGATCCTCGCAGGCATTGATTCAAACCTTGTAATTCACGACGTAAAATATTCACGAGATCAAGCAAAAAAATTCCGCCGGAATTAGGCTTGAGGCGTTTAAGCTTGGGAAGCCCGATATAAGCATCGGTTCGTCAGGGTTCATAGCAGTCCTAGCTATGACGGCGGACTTCGGTTGGCTTAGATCTCATAACATGCGATAACATAGAGCCGAATAGCAGGACAACAACGAATTTAAAACAAACTCAAGCGCGGGAAAAGTTGGTAAATTCAGTATGTGCCCTGCTGGATTAGTTCTCCTCTCTGCCTTTTGGTAGTCCCGGATTTATGTACAGTGCCCTGGAGGTGAACCAGAAAATGGTGTAAGTAGTTCAATTTATGTCAAATTAAAATTTCGGTTGCTCAAAATAAATAATATCAATGATAGAATCGTATTGTATGTTATCAGAAGGGGTGAACCGAGCGATAATCATGGTATTTAGCACGGAGTACAGAGTGCGGAGTACGGAATACATAGATTGCTCTCAAATTTATGTTAGGGCTTGGGAAGTTTGGGTGGTGCTAGCGCCTGCTCATATAGCTATTTGCCCCTCTTGCTCGACACTTCCATCACCATGCAACTTGGTTACTGATTTACTCCCATGAACCCGGGTACAGAGTTTCATGAGACATATTTATGTTTGAGCTGTCGGATATGATGTTTGCTTCTATCCACCTCGTCAACGCCAACTGCTACCATACAGCGCAATCATGACGGAGAAGAAGGTTTTTTTAGAAGCTGAGGATTTTCAAAGAGGTAACGCAGAGCCACATAAAGAGAGCACATTTTCTGCCGGATATATATAGAGTTGCACAAAGATTTTTTTTGGTCACTAACATTTGGGCCACTATATTTAAACAGGCCTCGCAGCCCTTGACACCGAGCTGGGAAAGAATTCATTTATCACCGCTTTCGCCCCGATAAAAATAATAGCAGCTGGAGGCTATTTCGCAATCACGTACCTTAAGAACCGCACGGCTACTACAGATTTGGACTACCTTGCCGATCCTCAATGGGCAGCTGATGAAGAAATCAAAAATCCCATCAAAGAGGCGATATTCGAAGTCTCGACCGCTCTTAATTACAATGAGGAATGGATAAACGAGGATATGGCCTTGTTTGTGACCGGGAGAACGAGACAACAACTGTTCGAGAAAGCAGAGCAACAAAATATCGTCCTTTTCAAAGGTGAAAACCTCATCGTGCTTGCCGCGCCCATTGAATGGGTTTTGGAGCGGAAGATGAGGAGGATACATGCTGGTTTCAGGGGCCGAAAGGCAGAGTTGGATATGAGCGACGCTTTGGCATTGTTGAAGTATATGAAAGATAGGAAAGGCGACCTACTCGACAGGGAGCATATTCGTACTCTAAATTCTAATTCTTTCGATATCATTCCGACCAGCGAAACGATGGAGCAAGTGGCAGCGGCATTCTGGCGAAAATATCATGGTGATATATTCGCTTGACTTCTGAGGGAATCCTCCGGTAGTCTCGGTTTCGACGAATTGCTGTTGGTGTATACACACATATATTCGGTAACACACAAGTAAGGTTTGGGGTTATATTATTGTAGTGTTTCTTGTTGGAAAAAAATGGCATATAAAGGTGCGATTATCATTTCTAAATCGTATATAACCAACCCACGTTCGTCACAATGTTTCGCCGTGCGAAAATTTCACTCTTCCCGTTCTCTTCAAGAACTAATTTCCCCTCCCCGTTCACAAACTCCTGGGGGAGTTTAAGTAAATTATCCCGGGCAATAGGAGGAACATCTTTTGTCCAGGCCGGGCCGATCACCGGCGCATAAGCCGGATAAGGGTCCTCATCAGCCTCCCGTAAAATATGTTTATGGTCTCGTCGCATGCCCAAGCTCAATCTCCAATTAAAAGCATTTACTAGCTCTTCAGCGAGGCATGCGAGAATGGCATAACGAATCGGATCAGGGTCCTTGGGGTCCTCAATTCTATGCAGATCCCAACGATTCCGATTCTGGTACCAAAAGTATTCTGTCTCCTGGCCCATTGGTGCGTACTCTCCGGAAGCAATAGATTCATAAAGACGATATAAAGAACGCAAAGGGGTATCTCGTGAACGCCAAACCGGGATGTTGCGGAGTGTAACTATACGGTTCCTTCGAGCCATCATTAAGGAGACATTTCCCAACATCTCCTTGGCAGGAATAGGCTCGGGGACTGGATATAACCATGTAGGAAAGGGATTGAAAAGTTGTAGAAGACAGAGCCACGGCCGCGGATGCTCATGTCTTAGCCTGACAGCGCTTGCTCGTAATTTAAGGGGGGATCTGAAATGGATTATACGGTAGTAAATTCGCAGGAGTCGCAGGCGGAAGGACAGTTTGAGGCGTCGCGGAGGCATATTTCCTATGCCTCGCGGAAAATATAGCGGCGTCAGTGATGGATGTGACCGTCAATCCTTAGATGATTGGGTAAGAGCTTCGAGAGATATTGCTGATTCTTCGATTTTAGGAACATGGCCATAGTGCTGGGAGATTCTTTATCAAGGTTATTGAAGCTGAAAATAAATTCGCAGCTGCATCAATCCGAGAGCTGGTAACGTGACTCCCTTTTAGTGCTGCCTTTACGGAGTACTGCGCGGTTTAGCTGCAGACCGCCGCCGGGTGATGACTAAGCAGACTTCGCTGGGGTGCAGTAGCGTCATATCATTTCCCTCTGCTCATCCCGAACACTCTTACTTGAACATTTGAGGGAGCCATTCTTCATCGGGGATAAACGCCAGCTCCATTTGATTATGGACGAGTCATTATGGCGCCTATTCGCTATGCTC